TAAAGTTGAAATAAAATAAACAATATTAAACCGAATCGAAATTAAAGGAATTAAACAAAATTAACAAGAAACGCTGGTTGGTGGAAAAAGTAACATGTACAGGCTTTTGAAATAAGTCTTTCTCCTCCCAGATTAAACAATGAAGTAGTAGTTCACTAACTCTCACCTAACCAGTAATAATCCTCTTAAGCTCAGCCAATCACGATCAAACACAATTCCTGAAAATTAAATCTTTAGACAATAGTATAGGTCAGTGGTTCCCAACCTTTTCTCCACCAAGGACCCCTTTTATTATCATTTTTTTTCCCCCACGGACCCCATGTTTTTGAAAGATTCCGCCTACCCAACAACCTATTTTTATCAACTAATAATTGACTCGTTCTCCCACTTTTCAATATCAAATAAGACATATATGTGCAATTAAAAAACAAACAAACATCAGTATTAAAAAAACTTACTTGTTTAACGAGATGGTATTACCTACGCGGACACCAGGTTGGGAACCACTGGTATAGGTAATCTTGCTCTAAGTAAGCATATTGACCACTCAATACGACAGCCTGGCCTCTGCTCTAGAAACTTCTTCTAAGGTTTATGAGTATTTGACAACATTCTATTCTCATGATAAGTAACCAAATAAAAATGTAAAAATACACGTTACTAATTAATAATTATATGAGATTAAACCAATGTGGATAGCTTACCACATTTAAATCTTATGTGTATTATCACTGGAAGTAATCTCCATTTTTTAAGTATTATAATGTTATTATATTCCAACTTTTGCGAAGATACAGCATGTTTCTTGTTATGTTAAAACCTGTGTGTAATTAACAGCTTATAATCTTTCAGTTCAGTCTAATAGACCATTTCCCAGACATTCGAAGCTATTCTGGTGGCATCTAATGAACTATATGTCTTGGGGCGAAGTGAACTCGAGATATTTTAGTTACTCGTATGACCCGCTTTTAAGTAGAGAGCGTCTGATAAAGACTAGAGACTAAAAATATCGAATGATTAGATTTTAAGTATTACGGGAAGATGGAGATGTTACGTAACCATGGCGAAACAAATGGAAACACTGGGATGTAACAGCTACCTCGAGATCCAAAATTCACAGAGAAAGATTTGAGTTGTTACTATAACAGTATAAGTGTAGTCATCGGACGACAATTCTAGTTCACAATGAGCACTTAAAGATTGTGTAGCTTTTTTATACAAATTATATATTTTAAATTGTTAAATGGAAAGTTGTGGTGCACACATCTACTCACGGAGTGAACTTGTAATAGCTCTGTTTCTTTTTGTTTTTAAATTTCGCTAGCCGTCCCTAACCTAAAAATGGTAGACTAGAAGGAAGGCAGCCAGTCAACACCATCAACCGCCAGTTCTTGGGCTACTTTAATCAATTACTATGATAGTTTAATTGTTTGTAATTATGCACAAAGGGCTCTCTCTGCTCTGCCCACCACGGGTATCGAAACCCGGTTTCTAGCGTTGTAAGTCCGCAGACATGCCGCTGTGCCACTGGGGGACTACTGCGATAGACTGTCACATTATCGTCGGTGGTTTAGGGGTTTATAATGCTTAAAATCAGTTATCGACAGTCACGGTGGGCATAGCAGAGATAGCCAACTGTGTAACTTTGTGTTTAACAACAAACGTATAGTCCCTCGATGAGTCAACGCTAAAATCCGGGGTTCAATTCTTCGCAGTGTACAGAACGCAAATATCCCAATGTGCAACTTTGTTCTAAAAACACAACTAGACAAATCGTCACATCATAACGCCCCTTACGGCTTAAAGGGCGAGCTTGTGCGGAATGTGATCCTATTTCGCGATTCGCAGATTGCATGGCGAGAGCCCTAACTACCACACCATGCCAGGCCTGATTTATCGGAATATCTCATTCATTTACTTCGATAAAACAAACGAGCAGTTTGACAGAGCAAAAGGCTAAGTTTTCTTCTAGTGTAACTATTTTTGAAATCCAATGATAAATACGTGGTGAAATTTAAATTAGAATTAATATTATGTAAATATCTTTTGTACACAAGAACGATTGACCTGACTGTTTAACAAGATTAAGTAGCTTAGAACTACCCTAAAATACATACTAATTTTGAGTAGTTTGGTATTTACCAACAATTTGACATATGGAAAAGCCTTAATTCTGTAAAATAAAGTTTCAATAAGAATATAAAAAATAATATAATAGCGCATTCACATTCAGTATTTCGACGTCTATAATAGAATCACATGGAAACGAGATATTCTCGTGTCAGGTTATTGCTTTGATATCTGCTATCAAAGATTAGTTAACATAATGTTGTTAGTATTAAGATTAATTGCTGTCTTTATATATATATATTTTAAATATGTTAAATGTTCGCCAATTGTTCAGTATTAATTTGCTAAAATGGTAGCACCAAAAGAAAGTATAGTCTTTATTTTTTTGTTAGCTAATCCGTTTTTTATTGAAACATTTCGAAAATCGTTACGAGTATCCCCTGGAGAAGTGTATGTGCTACGTTAACTTGTGTTGAGTAGTATCCCTTTTTCAGGTGTTATTCGGAAATTAATTATTTTTGAGAGTGTATGACTGAGAAAAAATGGGGTTTCTGATTACCAAAAGTTTATTGTAATATCTTCATATATTGAACTAAGAT